TTATTTATAGAGAGAAAGAGAGTGTGACCTTCCCTTCCCTCCTCCTCTCTCCCTGCTTCCTCTATCTCTGGACGTCCTTGGATTGGAAAGGGTGACTTTGAAAAAAAAAAGAAGGTCATGGTTGGATAATTTTTTGTTTATTAAATTATTACTTTCACTTCCTCATTCCCACACACATTCATCTTTTAAGAAAAGAAAAAGAGGTCATGGAGATAAGATTTCTTGGAAAGAAGAGAGAGAGAGAAACAAAAAAAAACAAATAAAACGGACGTCATAGAGCCTCTATGTGTGTCTGTGTGTGTCTATATATATATAAAAAGGCGAGAGTACTGGGCGAGATCATTTCTTTTCCATTGGGAGCCATGTCGCTATTAGACGTTTTTCCAACTCAACGGATTTCGAACGGGGAGGATTTGAAGACGCTAAAGCAAATCTCCAACTTGAAAATTTTTTTGGCGTGTCATTGTGCGACATTTATTCCGCATTTACCACCTCATCAAGCGATCGTTTCTTTCAACCAAGATGTCGAATCCTCCAACCTGCTCGTTCAGAATATATACAGAAATTTATTCGAATCGCAACAAACGAAAGAGGAATCTCCCTTCTCTTGGAATCGGATGGATCGAGCTTTGAGACGGCCCATTCAAACAGACCGGCGATATACGGATCCGCGCACGAGTTTTCGGTGGAAGAATATTTTTCTCACGAAACGATATTTTACGTTTGGAGTGAGAACGACGGCTGAGGACGAAGTTCATATTGTTCAAACCACAGCCGCTCCTCTCGCCTATTACGAATCATCGTCCCCCAATCTGAAGGAAAGAAGTTTTAAAGTCAGCGACAGGATGAAATATAAGAAATATATTCTAAGACCTTTTCAAAACTATGTCGTTCCCCCGAAAACGCAATATCTCATCGTCACAACCCAGAAGAGTCTCTTTCTCGTCGATCGGTGCTCGTACTCGCTTTGGAAACAATTGAAAGAGGAGATTTCTTTCCAATCGCCGATGATGTTTCAAGAAAAAGAAGAAAACCCTCCGCCACCTTTACCCATCCCTTCCTTAGATGATAAGAGGAGCTGGACCAAACCGTTCATTCCCGAAACAAAATCGACCCGGCAACGGAATGAAATTGAAGTCATCACAATTGAAGATGAGGAGGAAGAAAAAAAATTACCTCTTAAAAAAACGGTCGACTTACCGGAACCTACCTGGCGTGCAAGATCCGCTTCAGAATCCAGAAGCTTCTTCTTCTTCTTCTTCCCCGACTTGTTCAAACAGGCAACCTCTTTCGGACTCCTCACAGACAGAACCTCTTCCAGTATCCTCTTCTTCTTCTTCTCTAACCTGTCCCGACATCGTAGAGGTAGAATGTCAGACGGGTCCACAAGCTTCAAAAAGTCCCGACATCGTAGAGGTAGAATGTCAGCCGGGTCCACAAGTTCCAACAGGTCCAGAAATCATGGAGGCAGAATCACAGCCGGGTTCACAAGTTCCAACGGGTCCAGAAATCGTAGAGGTAGAATTTCAGCCGGGTAAACAAGTTCCAACGGGTCCAGAAATCATGGAGGTAGAATCGCAGCCGGGTCCAGACATCCTAGATCCCTCCACTCATCCCAAAGAGACTCCAAGTGTTTCAAGACAGCCTTGTGAGGATCCAGCCCTTCCCGTATGGAATGATTATATGGACTTACAAAATTTGGTGCAACAGGAAGGAGAAGAAAATAATCATACGGATGGGTGGGTCAAAGACTGTTTAGATCATTTAACCTCGAATGAAATTGAACTGTTATGGAATTGCATTTCTGAAATCACATCGGAAATGGGATAAAAACCAAAACAAAAAAAAAATTTTTTTTAATAACAAATTGGAGGAGGGTCATGATGTCAATTAAAAAAAAATATTATATAGAGTCCAATCTTGGTGGTTCACTTCAGTTTTCCAGCATGAGGTGATCCACGTTTCCCGAAATATGGATCCCATTCCAAGAGAGATTGTGTAGAGCCTTCACTTCAGTTCTTTTTTTTCCTACCAAGAGGAGAGGGTCCCCAAAGGGCTACCCATGTCCAAAGAGAGAAAGTGTAGAGCGTTCATTTCAGTTTTTTTTCCAAGTTTAGGGGAGGGAGGTCTCAAAATGACACCCCCCATTTTCAAAGAGAGATGGTGTAGAGCGTTCATTTCTGTTTTTTTCCAAAGTTAGGGAGTTTTCAAATGGCTACCCATTTCAGAGAAAGAGAGAGAGAGAGAAGGTGTAGAGCGTTCATTTCAGTTTTCCAACATTAGAAGGTCCCAAAATACCTTCTGAATTCAAAGAGAGATCGTGTAGAGCGTTCATTTCCAGTTCTCCAAGATCAGAAGAAGAGGGTCCGCTTTTCCCAAAAGGGCTTTCCGCATTCAGAGACAGCGAAATGCAGACTTCAGTTTTCTCCCTCCCCAAGAATAGAGGGTCCCAAAATGGCTTCCCATTTCAAAGAGAGAGGGAGAGGCGTTCATTTCCATTCTCCAAGATAGGGTCGTCTGCTTTTTCCCAAAATGGCTTCCCAATTCAAAAAGAGAGAGAGAGAGAGAGAGAGTAAAAGGGTGTGTAGAGCGGTCATGTTCATTCTCCAAGATAGGGTCGTCAGCTTTTTCTCAAAATGGCATCTCCCCATTCAAAAAGAGATCGTAACCAATTTTTTCCAGTTTTTTCCAAGATGGGGGGGGGAGAAGAAAACCTAGGATGGAATAACACGACACACAGAGAGAAAGAGAAAAAAAAAACGCCATCTTGTCATTTTCTGATAGGGTACCGGTGTTCGAATACTTTGTGAAAGACTGTACTGACTTACAAATAATTTTTTGACTAAGAACTTTAAAGTTGCAATTATAATCCCATGCACATACGATAAATATAAAGTGTTACTCTTGCATATCCCTGAGTCCTTCCCTCCAATAAAGAGTGTTAAATATTCACAACTCTGAGGTTCATAGTTCATTCTTTAGCTGTACTTCTTAATAAATATGATCGCTGTGAAGCAGTATCGATAATAGCTCTTGCGACGCGTTTTTTCCCATTACTTCTAATTATAACTTTGAATGTTTGAAGCATTACGTCCGGAGTAGAAGATAAGATGTTTGAAGCATTACGTCCGGAGTAGAAGATTGGAAAGAGCTTGATCCACTTCAGCACTAATCTCAGTATTCTTTTCAACTTCAGGTGATTCTTCGTTTTTTGACATAGTTATTTGGTGCATCTTTCTACACAGAAGAATATGGTGTTTTTTACCACAACACAAGAAAACTAACTTTCAAGTTACAATCCTTGACTGAATGTCCAGATTTCAAACATAAAAAACCTGTGAGATTGTTGAACCAGTGTGACTCCTTCTGCCTTAAAGGTATTTTTTTTACTTTTAGACAGTCTCCAGAAAAATGTGAATCAGAACAGAATATGCACTGTTTTGACACTTGAGATGAAGTTAGAAGGATCTGTTGCACTAGGTATATTTGAAAACTTTCCACTCTTAAATTTGTTATCTATCACTTTTTTCTTCATTGGAAAAATTATTCTATATTTTACTTCCCTGACTTTTTTTGACTTTGAAGTGTTGAAACTTTCGAGAGGCTAGAAAAAATGCGTTCTTCAGCTTCAACTTCATCTTGTAAAAATTCTAAAATACATTCTAAATCACTTTTCTCAATTATAGTTTTACTTTGATTTGAATCATTCTGAACTCACTTCTCGAACTCTACGATGAGCAGACTCTTGTAGCTGGGAGATAGCGCTCCCAAGCAACAAGAGTTTCTTCAGGTAACTGATAATTCAACTAGAGGAAATAAGCATGGCAAGCATATTTTTCTCTAGTAACACCTAATATTTCAAGTGAATCGGCAGTTTACTGCTTCAAGTTGATCTAACCAATTTTCTTAATGAATTTTTAGAACAGTTCTGTTTTTGAAGAACTAATGCTACTAAATCTCTGACGTATACTTGAATCAATAAGTTCTTCTCAACTGCCGAAACTCATTTTTCAGCTGTTTTAAAGCTTTTCTCTAACCATTACCACCTGGGGGAAAAGCTCTTAATTAATTCTTCGGCAGGACTGCCTTTTTCCTTTGCTTATGATAAATACAAAAATTTATCGTGAAAATCAATATTAATGTCCTCATCAATATTTTTGAATTTATCGTGTCCCAAAAGTAGAGCCAGTTTCTTATATTGACCCCATCAAGTAGTAGGCCAATTTCGTTACATTTATTGGATAAAGCAAGTAATTTTAGTGTTCGGCTGCAAACGTAATAAAGTGTTCGGCTGCGAAACAGTGTTCAAATTTCATTTTTAGAAGATAATTGTTCACCTCACTAGTGTTTCTAGCTTCTATTTTAATGATCGCCAGCGATCAATTATATGTTTTCTGACTCATCTACCACTTTTCTCTATTTTGGTATCTGAAGTATTTTCAGAATACAACAAATTGTTTATATTTCTCTTCACATGCTATCATAATAAAGCTTTCTCTTCAATTAGCTTTAATTTATTAATTTTATCAGCACGATTTAATTTGATTTCTTCCTCATCAAAAGTATTACATGCTCGAGTAAACAACCTTCTAAGTTGCTTTCTATCTTTCAAAACAATATCTATAATGCACAAAGAATAAAAGAAAATATAAAAATATTTTTTCACTCTTAAAAATGCAGCCGTAGTCCTGTCTCTTGGACCCCAGGTATCCCGTTTTACCTTCGATATCAGAAGAATTATGATAGAAAATGAGTATACAATCAATTATCTAATGAAAGACATCTCGTCACAACACAAACAGTTTAATATTACATTTCTATTTACAAGTCTAATTAAGTGTTAGTCATTACCTCAAGACTGTTTTGGTAAAGTATCAAGTCATTCTAGCCTGTAGTTTTAAAGATAGCGCGGTTTGAAATCGCAACCTGTCAAGCCAAAGAAAGATTCTTTGGCCAAGCTGCACAAAGTAGAAGAAGAGGGAGTATTAAAGGGAGGCGGGATTTATGGTAGGTTTCTGTCTATGGTAGTTTGAATGCTTTAAAGCTCTTTACCAGAATGCTTAACAATGCGAACTCCAGATATAGGCAGGCGTGAGTTAAATTGTTCTCACAAACGACGCCTAAGTAAAAGTATATTTCGCTTTAATTATTATATGTTGTATATTTATATCTTGTGTCAATTGTACTGATCGTCATTTCTCAAACTTTTTCAAAGTGAGAACCTCTTTTATAAGCTTCCCCGTTCTGCAGACCATCTTCCTCGTATCCCCATCGAAAACAATTTTTTAGCATATTTTATAAATATCAATATATTTAAATTTTTTAAATACACTGAATGAAAAATTCATTTAGGTTTGTATTAATAATTATTAATAGAAGAGGATATGTTTTCGTTTTTAATGTTTCAAGGCTATTAGAATTTGGATACTCTTTATCTTATTATGTAAAAATTAAACAAATATTGGTTCTCGCATAGATGAGTTGAATGAGTATACGGATTCATGCACAGCTGTTCGATGTTTGGGATGCATGCTGGTAAGCTTAAATCTGAGATCGGCCGTCAGTATCAAATAAATTTCGATACTTTATTTGTAATCAAAAATCTTTTCTCACTGATAAATAGAAGCAAATTAAATTATAATTTTTGGAAGCACTTCCGCAGAGAACCCGGTAAATGTAAACATCGCCAACTTTAGCGATAATAGTTCAAACATGGTAACCTATCGGATTCATCGTATTCTCTTGTTTGAAGGTTGCAACCATTCTTCTTGCGTTCATTTTGTTGAATTATCACTGTCGTTGTTCGCATTTGAAGATTTATATTCTTCTTCTCGTATTTATTATTATTTTTTCTGATTTTCTACGTTATTTTTCTGAATTTTTTAACAACGAATGTATAGAAATATTTTCGTTATAATTAAAGAAGTTTTCGTCGATAGATGCCGGTTTACGGCTCCAATTTTATGGCGTAAAATTTTAACAAGATACTATATTGTTAATGCTTTTCTAACAATAACCTTTCCGAGGATGGCAGGTGTGACATAAATAGCTGATTAAATTGAAATAAAAAATATTGATTATCCAAGATGACAGAGTAGTTTGATGCATCCCCATGGTCATCAAAATTAGCAAACCGACTGCTGGTGTAAGGAATACATTGTTCAAATCTAGTGCTAACTGGAAAAATAATACAAATTTATTTTCGTATATCAAGTTTAACCGGTTAGTTTTGTTAACAATGCTACTGAAGAAAATTAGATTACTGTTGAAGGTTATTTGTATGTGAAATATATTATGAAAAATACAGCTTTATTTTCGTGTATCACGTTTAACCGGTTAGTTTTACATCTACATGCTTATTATCTGTGAATTTTTACTACCATATGCTTAATATTTTGTTTTGTCTGCTAATTTGAATTTACATGCACTATAAATCACGTTTACGACTCGGCTCATCTCTTGGCGAGTAAAAATTGCAACGGCGCCAACGGGTTCTCTGCGGATGAAAACCATAATTTGGAAACATTATTGTACAATTCATTATATTCCATTTTCACTGTTCATGAAATCTAGAAATTAACTATATCTTCTGCTTAGAATTTAATTTTAAATCTGCTATCATTTGAGAGTTCAATTAACTGGTGTGCTTCATTCAATGTACGTTTAAGTACTAAATCACAACACAAGCTATTGATGGTGAAAATTTTCTCTTTTTTGCACAAAACCCCTTTATTTTCTTGTGAGCATTGAGAATAGTCAAAGAATTACCGAGTACACAGGTATTTAGTTCACTTAGATTTGATAATACTTCTGAAAGGTATACCAGTCAATTATGTAAAATCTTCATTAATTTCGTTTATGAATAGCATAATTCCTATCATAAAGTCTTGCGAGTACTTTCAGAATGAAGAACCTGTTATGTTTGATTTTCGTATCATGAAAAAATATTGAAAATGCTATGCTGGTCAGATGCTTAATAAAGTTGATTAATGCTGTTTTCTAACACTGTGGTAGGTCGGGGTAACTTGATGAAACAATAAGTTCTAGTAACATGATGTGCCACATCTGTAGTTTTGGCAACAAACACCACTATGCCTTTTGGCAAGTACTTGAGCCTCATCAGAACAGAAACCTACATCTTTTTCCAAGCAGTATTATGATGTTCCATTTAGAACTTAAAAACCTTGTTCTTTTGTTGTACAAGTTAGCAGAGTTTTCAGAAATAACATAAATAACATCTTCATGACTGTAAACTCATAGCTGACATCAACAATTAACTCTGCATTATTCTTAACTTTTGTTATCTTATTCAGAAGTCAAACAACAATTCAGAAGTCTTTTGTTGTCTTGTCTGTTTGAATAAAATAGACTCTCTTTTAAGTTCAGATTCCATGTTATTGATGCTGAGTGTAACTGACTGTTTGAAAGAGTATTAAATCATTGTTCTTAGATAATTTTTCACTAAACATTTAAAAAAAAAATTTTTTTTTAAACTATCCTTTTTATAACTGGAAGTATTAAGATCTCACCTATAGAAAGGAGTTTTTCGCTCTTTATGACTTGCAATATGGAAAGCTTCAAAGTTTTTTTTTTTTTTTTTTTTTAGTTTTTGAACCTGTATCAGAAATAATTTTGATTTTTTATTCAGCTAATATCACTAAAAAAATCTGACAGATTTTGCATTTTATCCTTGCATATTTTGTTCCTAAGTGTAATTTTAGTTTCATATATCTCATATTCTCATTTTGCAAGCATTTTGTAACATACAACTCGCTAAGGTTTTGGTTCACACCCACTGGTACACCAAGTAAATCCAAATTCTAAATAACTGGCATTGTACTTCTGAAAGCTTTTTTTCTTTGAACAGCTACAAGTACTCTAGATATTTGTTTAATCACACCTAGCATCACTGATGTTAATATCATAATTACATTCAAATTCTGTACTCTTAGAAGCCCTGCCTAAATGAAGGCTGTCATCATGTTCCTTTATTTTTAGATATCTGGTTCAAAGTCAGTCTTCCATTATGTACAATGGCTACTATGTAACAGATAACAACTAATGTCTATCACATGAGAGTGATTTCAAACAACTAGTATGTATGCATGTAAGATAACCAATAATAAATTTCATAAAATGAAAGTCTTGGGAGAAAAAGTTACGGACGAATGCCATGTATAATTTATAAATTCTTAGATTTTGAGCTCTAGATGTTACATGCAGTTAATTGGAATCTTTTTTTGTGTCCTTCCTCCCCTCTTTTAGTTAATCTGAATCTTATTTTGTGCCCTCCAATTCTTTTTCTTTTAAATCCTAGATTACAATGGTAGGCCTCAAGAATCACATATAGTTTGTGGACCATAGAGCTGAGAAATAATGGCTTACGATGATGCTTACCAACCTATCTCATGTCAGAGCACACCTCACAAGATAATTTGACAATGCACTATGAAGGAACTTTTTCCTTTTATTAACATAAATAATTTCTCTTTCACACTAGGGATTCAATTAATAAGATGTTTCTTTTAAATATTTTTGTTTGAATTTTGCAGTATATGAATATTCCAGCTTGATATTCATTTCAGTTAAGTCCTCTTATGCAATTATATAAGCTTGAAGTAAATGGAATGAAAATATCTAATCCATCCATTTTCAACAACCAATTGTTAAATTTGACTGAGTGAAGCTGCAGGGATTTCATAAAACAGGGATTTTGGGCTACTGAAATGACTGATATAAACTTTGGTGAATTTGTCATTAATCTCGAAGCATGAGCTCATACTATCTAGTTTTCATGTGTTATATCTGTAATTTGTATCAGTTGATTATTTAACTAAATAAAGAGTGATCTGTACTCGTAAATTCTGCCTAAATGATTGACACAAGTTTGGGTGTAGTCTCAACCAGCATTTATGGTCGACAGAAAAGTATGTAAGTACCATTCTACTTTCAAAGCTACAGCACCTTTGTTGGATTTGCTATATCTAATTTCTTAAAAGAAATTATGAAGCACAGCATCTAATTTTCACTAGCTGCTTCACAATTACTGCAGGAAAGTTTGTTTAGTCAACATGGTAGTGCAAGCTCCAACAGCCTGCATTTAAATGAAATCTGAAATGCGCTGTTTTTCATTCTTGTAAAAATTACTTTGCAACAATGGCATAGCAAGTAACTTTGCTATGTATTTAACTTTCAAGTAAATGCCACATTAACCTAGTCAGCTCTTTTTTTTTTTTTTAATTCTTTGTCCCTCTAAAGGGAAAATCACCATACTCTCCTTATTAACCTGTTTCACAAATACTGCAGTCATGCAAATTATGATCATTAATGAAGTTTCACTTTTTCCTCAGCAGTTGTAGTTCAGGTGTATGACAAAGTTATGCTGTTGCTCCATAGTGGTGTGTAAGGAAAGTCTGCCTCTGTATATGCATTTGTTGCTGGTAATAGCAATAGACATATTAATACCATTATGTAATATAATGAAACATTTCAAGTTTCTCATAGACTTTTTATTTGTAAAACCTGTAATTTGTAGGATTTTAAATATATTTACTCATGATTTACTCTTTATTTTTGTTGATTAGAAACTTAATTTCTTCCTAATTTAAATTACTACTGTATATTCACAAAATGTGATAATTTTTCAACAAATATTAGTGGTGAATTATGATTTAATACTTTCTGTATTCATAGTTTAATACTTCCTGTATTAAACTGTAATTAATAATGGCATTTATCCCCTTCTCAGTCATTACAATTCAGGACCATGTATCAAATAAGGGTTGTATTCCTGAAAGTCTGTAGAGAGAATATGTTGTCATTGTACGTGCATCTAGTGACAATAGCAGAGTTGAAGACGAAAAATCTACACTGCTTGGGACCTGAGGTTTGTGTATATTAGAGTTTTTCAGATTTCAAGCCATAAATAAAAGATTATTAAGCTTCTAAGCTGGAACGAATAAAGACAAATTCATAAAAAGCATATAAAAAGAATTACTGTAGAAAGTCTGGAATCCAGAGTCATGAGGAATTCAGTGGTTCCAGATTTCAGATATTTTTGGATTTTAGATCATTAATTGAAATCTAGTAAAATTGTATGTAGAATGCGAAATTAAAAAAAAAAAAAAAAAAAAAAAAAAAAACATGAAAGGGTTTTTCAAAATAAACCCCTCAATATTAACTTTTTCTTTCATGAAAATCAATATGAGTTTTTTGAGCAGTTTTTTTATATATGTTAATACAGTCAAAAGTCGTTAATTCGGACACCCATAATCCGGAATGATCTATAATCCGGGCCTCAAAGCTACAAACTTTCTGCGCATGCGTTGCGCTCACGCATGTGCATAGGCGTTTACGAGTGCACGTAAGACCTTTACGGCTGTGAATATGTGTGTGCGCATGAGCGTTTAATGTGTAACGGAGGTATAAGCTAAGCTAAAATTATCTAATTCAGTTAATGTTGCAGATTGCGTTGTTCCTTAATCTTTGAATTGGATCCGGCTTATTATTTTTTGCAGACTGTTAGAGAAATTTTATAAAAGTAAGCTTGAACTTTCGATTATGTCAAATAGAATTTCCGATATATATTTACTAATATGTAAAAGATCTGCAAAGTGAAAGTATGTTCTGAAATCTGTTTATCAATTTCACGCGTCGGTGCACAATGAATTGGAAGTTGATCTGTCAGCACTATCCTTATCTTCAGAGCAGATGTTTTTATTTTATTTAGCTTATAATTCCTTACTAAATGCAGTATTTGATCTCGATGTACTCCATCTTTGATATGATTTAAATCAAGTTCCTTGTCATTATAATTCGCTTCCGATAGTGAAGAAAGTGACCCAGAGGTTATTGAAAACGAAAATATTTCGATTGACAAATTAGTTGGTATTGACAACACAGCAATTATAGGACTTCAACATCGGAACTTTGTAACTAAACAAGAAATTATGTCTGTTTAATAGAATTAAAGAGAAAGTATTATCACATGAAACGAAGCAACTTAAACAACTTACATTGAAAGAAATGTTTAATAAAGTAAACAAATAAATATTAAGCTTTTTCTTTTTGTAAATTTTGATATCCTTTAGATCATAATTGTTCTTTATTTCATAAATTACGGTTTCATATTTTTAATTTTGTAATTTCTGCATGCCATCTTACCAGATTTAAACTGATGATCTATAATCCGGAAAAATCGATAATCCGGAATTGCCGAAGTCCCGACGAGTCCAGATTAATGACTTTTGACTGTGCTTTCTTTTTAATACATCTCTGCATATGTCCTCTATGCTTATGAAAGGAGTTTTAAAAATATCTGCAGCCTACTAGTGACTAAGCATTAAAGTTGCTGAATGCTGCTAGTTCGATCTGAGTTTGATTCCAGGTGAATGGGCTGGCTGTATGAGCATTTCTGCTTTGTATCTTTTTGAAAATCTCCACACGGCACTAGAATGTTCTTTTGTATTTCTAGAAGATACAGGAACACAAAATTTAAATTTTCCTAACTGGCTATGCGTTGTGTTTTATGTTTAACGGATTAACCCCTAATTCAAATTTACGGTGAACTGGTGAGTGACATGAACAAATCAAATAAAACATACCATTAATTAATCCAAAGAAAATAAGACTACAGTCAAAAGTCGTTAATCCGGACTCGTCGGGAATTCGGCGATTCCGGATTATCGATTTTTCCGGATTATAGATCATCAGTTTAAATCTGGTAAAATGGCATGCAGAAATTATAAAATTAAAAAAATATGAAACCGTAATTTACGAAATAAAGAACAATTATGATCTAAAGGGTATCAAAATTAACAAAAAAAAAAAAAAAAAAAAGAAAAAAAAGCTTAATATTTATTTGTTTACTTTATTAAACATTTCTTTCAATGTAAGTTGTTTAAAGTTGCTTCGTTTTTTATGTATAATACATTCTCTTTAATTCTATAAACAGACATAATTTCTTGTTCAGTTACAAAGTTCCGCTGTTCAAGTCCTATAATTGCTGTGTCGAGAATACCGACTAATTTGTCAATCGAAATTTTTTCGTTTTCAATAACCTCTGTTACTTTCTTCGCTATCGGAAGCGAATTATAATGACGAGGCATTTGATTTAAATCATATCAAAGACGAGATGAAATACTATATTGAATAAGCAATTATAAGCCAAATAAAATAAAAACATCTGCTCTTAAGATAAGGATAGTGCTGACAGATCAACTTCCAATTCAATGCACGCTGCCGCAGCGTTAAAGATAAACAAAGTTTAGATAAACAAACGTTAAAGTTTAGATAAACTTTATCCATTTTTTGCAGCAATTCCACTTTTTGTTTAATGGACTCCGAAAGATACTTTCGCTTTGTATATCCTTTACATATTAGTAAATATATATCGGAAATTCTATTTGACATAATCGAAAGTTCAAGCTTACTTTTATAAAATTGCTCTAACAGTCTGCAAAAAAATAATAATCCGGATCCAATTCGAAGATAAGGAACAACGCAATCTGCAACATTGACTGAAATAGATAATTAGATAATTTTTGCTTAGCTTATCCCGTCCGTTATACATTAAACGCGCATTCGTAAACGTATTTTGCGCACGCGCACATGCAAATTAGCAGCGGTAAAGGTCTTACGCTCGACGCATGCGCAGAAAGTTTGTAGCTTTGAGGTCCGGATTATAGATCATTCCGGATTATGGGTGTCCGAATTAACGACTTTTGACTGTATTTATTTACTGAATGGTATAGTTAGAATTAAATAAACAAGTGATGATATCAAAATAAACAATAGGACATTAAAATTATCTTTTCTATTTTATCCAAGATGTCAAATATTATAGTGCATGATAAGGGTATCATAATCAGTTAAAAAAAAAAATTGAAAGAAAAACATACCCTCCCCGAGGAGAAAAAAAAAAAAAAAATTCTTAATAACCATTAACAATTTCCTAGACAAACCAAGTAACAATTGCTTTTCCCTTTTAAACACTAGTTATTTACACTGGTATTAAAGAACAAATTTCGGATTTGCAAGACAAAGTAATACTTAATTATTACACATTTTCTGTTACCATAGTACTAGGATGACTGGGTATAAATTTGAGTACGGATATATATTTTTTTTCATCTTAAGAAGAAACTTATTCTAATGGAAATTACATAAACGATTAATTGCACTCAACTGGATTAATTAACTTTATATTGCACAGCTTTATTTCAATCAATTAAATATATATACAGTCAAAAGTCGTTAATCCGGACTCATCGGGACTTTGGCAATTCCGGATTATAGATCATCAATTTAAATCTGGTAAGATGGCATGCAGAAATTATAAAATTAAAAATGTGAAACTGTAATTTATGAAATAAAGAACAATTATGATTTAAAGGGTATCAAAAGTTACAAAAAAAAGCTTAATATTTATTTGTTTGCTTTATTAAACATTTCTTTCAATGTAAGTTGTTTAAGTTGCATCATTTCGTGTGACAATACTTTGTCTTTAATTCTATTAAACAAACATAATTTCTTGTTCAGTTACAAAGTTCCGCTGTTCAAGCCCTATAATTGCTGTGTCGAGAATACCGACTAATTTGTCAATCGAAATTCTTTTGTTTTCAATAACCTCTGTCACTTTCTTCGCTATCGGAAGCGAATTATAATGACGAGGAATTTGATTTAAATCATATCAAAAACAGAGTACATCGAGATGAAATACTACATTTAGTAAGGAATTATAAGCCAAATAAAATAAAAACATCTGCCCTGAAGATAAGAATTGGGCTGACAGATCAACTTCCAATTCATTGCGCGCCGCGGAGTTAAAGATAAACAAAGTTTAGATAAACAAATCTTAAAGTTTAAATAAACAAAGGATATGCCTTTATCCCTTTTTTTGCAGCAATTCCACTTTTTGTTTAATGGACTTCGAAACATACTTTTCGCTTTGTAGATCCTTTACATTAGTAAATATATCGAAATTCTGTTTGACATAATCGAAAGTTCAGCTTACTTTTATAAAATGTGTTCTAACAGTCTGCAAAAATAATAAGCCGAATCCAATTCGAAGATTAAGGAACAACTCAATCTGCAACATTAACTGAATTAGAGAATTTTAGCTTAGCTTATACCGTCCGTTATATATTAAACGCGCGTTCGTAAACGTATTTTGCACATGTGCACACGCATATTCGCAGCCGTAAAGGTCTTGCATCATCCTGACGCATGCGCAGAAAGTTTATAGCTTTGAGGTCCAGATTATAGATCATTCCGGATTATGGGTGTCCGAATTAACGACTTTTGACTGTATATATATTTATTATTTTCTCAACAAATTACTACTCAAACAAAACACAAGTAACTTAGCCTAACCCAACAGTAAAAAAAATTATGTCAGAAAGCAGAAATTGGACTAACATAAGAAGGATTGAATTAATAATTAAACAGCAGAAATGAAGATCGCTAGAGTTTACCAGTTAAAAGACGACAGCAATTAACTATTGGATAAAAGTAATCTTAAACTTATCTGAATCTTCTTAGGACTTCGGCTGGCGATAAGAATGAATTTCAGGATGCAGAGGTGAAAGTCTCCATATTACTTGACTTAGATGACGAAGAATTAGACGACAGCGAGTGGTATTAACTTTTAGCAAAATTCAGGCGGGAACTATTCTGGAGGGAGATGGTGACTGGACACATCCTTCAAAGGTGGGGAAATCTCTGCTATATCAGTTGGGTACATCAGAAGATTAAAACTGTAGGCATGAGAGCAACAGCATTTTGAAGATTAAAACTGTAGGTATGAGAACAACAGCATTTTGAAGATTAAAACTGTAGGTTCGAGAAGAACTGCATCTTGAAGATTAAAACTTTAGGTTGGAGAAG